GCCCTGGCCCTGAGCATCCCGCGGGGCAGAGGGGACAGGAGAGTGGGGACCAGCATCCCTGGGGTGCTGCACGGGCTGCCGGGAGCGTCCTCCTGCACCTTCCTCCATCCTTGTGACCTTCCTCATCCTTCAGCACCTTCCTCCATCCTTCTGCACCTTCCTCATCCTTCTGCACCTTCCTCCATCCTTGTGACCTTCCTCATCCTTCTTCATCCTTCTTCATCCTTCTGCACCTTCCTCCATCCCTCTTCTATGGTCTGTACCTTCCTCATCTTTCTGCACCTTCCTCCATCCTTGTGACCTTCCTTATCCTTCTTCATCCTTCTTCATCCTTCTGCACCTTCCTCCATCCTTCTGCATCCTCCTCCATCCTTCTTCTATGGTCTGCGCCTTCCTCCATCCTTGTGACCTTCCTCATCCTTCTTCATCCTTCTTCATCCTTCTGCACCTTCCTCCATCCTTCTGCACCTTCCTCCATCCCTCTTCTATGGTCTGCACCTTCTTCCATCCTTCTGCACCTCCTTCCATCCTTCTTCATCATTCTTCTATGGTCTGCACCTTCCTCCATCCTTCTTCAACCTCCTCCATCCTTCCTTCATCCTATTTCATCCTTCTTCAACTTCCTCCATCCTTCATCACCTTCCTTGTCCTTCTGCACCTTTCTTCACCCTCCTTCACCTTCCTCCATCCTTCTTCACCTCCCTCCATCGTTCTTCATCCTTCTTCATCCTCCTGCACCTTCCTCCATCCTTCTGCACCATCCTTCATCCTTCTGCACCTTCCTCCATCCTTCTTCATCCTTCTTCTATGGTCTGCACCACAGNGGAGCGGGTGACAGCGAAGGCCACCCCGGCCGAGGCGATGGCGTGCACGAAGGCGGATTCGCGCGTGGCTGCAAGACACAGAGCACTGCTGGGCTGCCACTGTCACATTTCCTGCAAAAATCCCCCTTGCCTGAGATTTTCTCCTAGGAAGCTGGAAAACCTCAGCTTATCCTGTGTTTTGCTGGTTTGGAGATTGTTTATCCAACATGTGAATTGTTCTAACCTAATGACTGATCACCATCAGCTGTGTCGGGATTTGTAGCTACAGCATTTTTTGAAAAATCCTTTCTTTGGGATTTTTCCTCCTGAGAAGCTGAGAGGCCTCAGGAACAAAATGTAAACAGTGGTTATCTGCTGCTGTGGGATGCAACAGGTGCATCTGTGATTGGTCTCGTGGTTGTTTCTAATTAATGGCCAATCACAGTCAGCTGGCTCTCTCTCTGTCTGAGCCACAAGCTTTTCTTATCATTCTTTCTTTTTCTATTCTTAGCTAGCCTTCTGATGAAATCTTTTCTTCTATTCTTTTAGTATAGTTTTAATATATATCATAAAATAATAAATCAAGCCTTCTGAAACATGGAGTCAGATCCTCATCTCTTCCCTCATCCTGGGACCTCTGTGAACACCATCGCAGGAACTCTAGAAGCAGCCACGAGTTTTCATTATCATCCTTGTTAAAACTTTTGTCTGTGTCCTTTCTCTATTTTTTAGTATAGTTTTAGTATAGCGTAATGTAATGTAATATAATGTAATATAATGTAATGTAATATAATATAATATAATATAATATAATATAATATAATATAATATAATATAATATAATATAATATAATATAATATAATATAGCCTTCTAAGAATATGGAGTGAAATTCACCTTTCTCTCCCTTCAACCCTGCAAATTCAACAGTGTTCTCCTTCCCAGCCCCACCCAGCAGCCCCTAAACCTTGCTGAAAAGGTTTATTTTGTTAATTTGGAAAGGAGTTATTTTGTTAATGAAGGTTTCCCGGAGCAGGAGCAGCAGGAGGTGGGGCAGGGTGTGACTCCAGCTCCTGCAGCATTTCTCAAACACAGGGCCCAGGATTTGATCCATGGGTGCTCAGGGTGAACAAGGCATCAGCAGCAGCTTGAGGGGCCTCAGGAGGGAGTTACTGGAGTAATTCCTGGCCTGGGAACCGAGAGAAGGCTCCGTGCCAGGGGTTAGAGATGGAGGAGCTCGTTGACCTGGGGGAAGGTTTTGGATGATGCAGACACACTGTGGGAGAACAGGGGTTTGACCTTGCCCTCCGTGGCTGCACTGACCCAGGCTCTCCCAGCTTTCCCCTGGCGACACCTTTTGGCTCAGAGCTCTGCAGACCTGCAGCTCCCTGGGCAGTGCCACCAGGCTGCTTCAGCCCATCTATAGATGGAGACTTCTCATTTAGAGACTTCTCTAAATCCAGAGCAGATGTTGGCATCAATGCTGCCTTGTGCAGGAGAGGCTGGAGCTCAGGGGCTGTGGTGTCTGGGCTGGAGGGCTCTGACTGCTCTTGGGTCTGGTGTGATCAGATCACTGGGATGAATGTGGGATGAACCAGAAATTTCTGCTGAGAAAATCACCTTGGAGCCAGTCCCCTCCTTCCAGAGCAGGAGCCATGAAGGATCCATCTCTCAGCTGTGCCCAGGGACAGCAGGCCCCTCTCCCCAGCCCCAGCCTCTCTGCAGACCCAAAAGCCAGCTTTGCCAGGCTGGGCTGATGCCAGGCTCTCAGGGGAGGTGGCTGTGGGTGGCTGCCAGCTGTGGGAATCCCAAATGGGATCTCCAAGCAGAGCTGCTCAGTCCTGGCTGTGCTGGCAGCACCCTGCTGAGGTTTTCACCTCCTTTCAGCTCCAGCTCTTCCCTCCTTCACTGTGCCAGCAGGGATCCTGCCTGGAAAACCAGCCAGGTTATCCTGGGGGATCTCTCACCAGCACCCCTGGGACTGTGGGCACCGCTGGGGCTGCAGGCACTGCTGGGACTGTGGGCTGGAAGGTCCCTGCTGGCACTGAGGTGTTCCAGCCTCACCAAGGCTCTTTGGGTGGCCCAGAGCAGAGCAGAGCAGAGGAGCCAGCCCAGGACAGCCCGGGGACAGGGGGAGGACACGGGAGCGATGTGGCTCTGCTGGCCCTGGTGCAGATGGGCACGGGGAACAGGGGCACTCCGGGGCTGGGCTGGCAGTGCCCTCCTGGCAGGGCCGCAATGGACATGGCTCCTACAGCTGCTCTGTGTCCCCCATGTCCCCTGNATTTGATCTTGATCCATTCCTTAATTTGATCTTGATCCATTCATTAATTTGATCTTGATCCATTGATTAGGTCTCTTCCAACCCAAACCACCCTGGCATTCCATGGCTGTCCCTCAGAGCCAAACCACACAAGCTGGCAAATGCATATTTTTGAATTTTTTACCTTTTCTTTAATGATGTACCACAAAAAAATGGAAGTTGAAATATATTTTTCTCCAAATATATATATTTATATAATATATAATCTTAGTTAACTCAAGTATATACATTGTATAATAAATAATGCTTATAAAAAGAGACATTTTCTGAATATAAAATAAAAAAAAATCGACCTCTACAACTTTATACAAAACTTTGGATACAGCAGATTGATGGAAAAAAGATCTTCCATTCAGTGCTAGAATACCTGGCTACAGTAAAATAATTACAAGGCAATAAATGTTCTATTTAATATTAAATACCTTTTCGTGATTAAAAAAACAAACAAACAAAGAAGGGATTTTGTTTAAAGTCGGGTCCTGGGAGTCTTTAATATATATTTTAAATAGATGCATATCAGAGGATGGCGTGGCTCTGGCTGGGGGAGGCTTTTGGAGCTCTCTGGGGTTTGAATTTTTGGAGCAAAGGCTCCTCTGCAGGGAGCTCTGCATGGGAGGGACCTGGGGTTCTGTCAGGCTCTGTCTCTCCCCTTTATTGCTCTGTGCAGCTCCAGGGGCTGCTCATTCCCAGGAAAAGAGAGATTGGAGCAGCAGCCCCAGCCCCAGGGGCCACCATTCCCTGGAGTTCACTGCCTGGGCTGGGTTTGAGCCTGGCTCTTGGTCCTGGAGCCCACCAGGACAGAGGGAATATTTATTTTATTAATTTCACAGGTCAGTCCTGGAGAAGGTGAACAGGGGATGGCCTGGGGAGCAGGGGGGGGACAAACAGGTTCTGCTGCATGGGATGAGGGGGGAGCCCAAATCCCTGCTCATGGAACTTTCTGGATGATTGCAGACAGCTCAGTAAATGCCCTGGCAGGGGAAGGCTCTGCCTGGCTTTGTGCTGTGGCACTGACAAGGCTGACAAGGAGGCTGGGACAGAGATTTCCTCTCTCCCTGGAGCCTCTCCTGTTCACCTGGCAGGTAACCTGTCCCCAGAGAGACCCCTGAGCTCCCCTGGGATGTGAAGTCATGTTGGGGAATGCTCAGTCAATGATCCTTAAAATCTTCTCCTGGGCAGCTGCAGGGTGAGGAGGTGATGGGACAGTGCTGTCCCCTGTGGGAGGTGGCAGCAGTGCCCTGTGCCCTGCTCCTGCCCTGGGCCAGTGCCAGGGGGCAGCCCTGGGCTCTGCCCTGCTGAAATCCTCCATGGGAGATGTGGGGAGGGGGAACAGAGAGGGCAGAGGGACCCCTGGGCTCTGTTGGTGTGCTCAGGTTTGGTTCTCCAGCATCACCTCAGAGCAGGGAGGAGGGAGCTGGGCTGGGCTGGGGGCTCCTTCCTGTCCCCCCTGCATGTGCTGAGAGCAGGACAGCAGCAGCTGGGGGAGCTTTCCCAACCCAACCCAAGCCAATCCAATGCATTTCCACCTGAGCCCCGGTGCTGCTGCCTGCAGGGGCTGGGCCTGTGGGGCAGGACAGAGCTGGGAGCTCAGGGGCTGCTGTGGCAGCAGCTCTGCCTCGTTGGGCTCTGCCTTGCTGGGACCCAGCTGTCCGTGATCTCTGCTGCCTCCCTGTCCTGTCCTTGCTCTCCCTGTCCTGTCCCTGCTGTCCCTGTCCTTGCTGGCCCTGTCCTGTCTCTACTCTTGTCCTGTCCCTGCTCTCCCTGCTTTTGTCCTGTCCCTGCTCTTGTCCTGTCCCTGCCTTCCCTGTCATGTCCCTGCCTTCCTTGTCTTGTCCCTGCTCTTGTCCTGTCCCTGCCCTCCCTGTCCCAGTTTTTGTCCTGTCTCTGCTCTCCCTGTCATGTCCCTGCTCTCCTTGTCCTGTCCCTGCTCTCCAGGGCATTTTGTCCTGTCTGTGCTCTCTCTGTCCTGTCTGTGCTTTCTCTGTCCCTGCCCTCCCTGTCCCATCCCTGCCCTCCCCAGCCAGCCTGA